TAAAAGAGAATAAAAACATGGCATGTGCAGGAAAATGGATGGCATTGGAGAAAATAATGCTAAGTGAAGTTAGCCAATCCCCAAAAAAAGAAAAGCCAATTTTTTCCTCTGATATAAGGAGGCTGACTCATTGTGAAGTAGGGAGGGGGGCATGGGAGGAATTCTAGAATAGAGGGGGAGTATGGGAAGAATAGATGATTTCTCAGAAAGAGGGGTGGRAGGGAAAGGGAGAAGGTAGGGGATTAGCAAGGAAGGTAGAATGTGATGAACATCATTATCCAAAATACATGTATGAAGACACAAATTGGGTGTCAACATATGTAATATACAGATATATAAAAAATTGTGCTATATATGTGTAATAATAATTGTAATGCAAAAATACAATGTACATGTACAAAGATATGAATTCGCATGAACATACTTTATATACAAAGATATGAAAAATTGTGCTCTATATGTGTAATAAGAATTGTAATGCATTCCACTGTCATGTATTTAACAAAATAAAATCAATTTAAGAAAAATAAACAATGAAATATTTTTCCCAGCATCTGGAACAAGGTAAAGACTCTGGCTTTTACCTTTGCCAATTAGCATAAATTATATGTGCAAGAGTCTCAAGAGACCACACAAGAACTGTTACAACTACTAGACAAGTGAAGCACAGTAGTAGAATGCAAATCAGTATGCAAAACTCAGTTGTGTTTCTAAACACAATGAACAATTCAAAAGAAATGAAGAAAACAATCCTATTTACAATAGCAAGGAGAGGAATGAAGTGCTTAAGAATAAACTCAATCAAGGAGGAAAATGAGACTCCACTGAGCACTGCAAGCTATATTTGAAAGACAGAAGACACACAGAAAAGTGAAAGACAACCTAAGTTCATAGGCCAGAAGCTTAATATTGCTAAGTTGTCAGTACTGCCCAAAGTGAGCTACAGATTTAGGGCAATCCCTACCAATGTTCCACTGAAAGTTTCTCTCAGGAGTAGAAAATTTCATCCTAAAATTCATATGGTGTCTCAGTATATTATTAGTCAGGGTTCTCTTGAACAGAATGTTCTTTGGAACAGTTCTGATCTCAGGAACAGAATCAACAGGAAGTATGATTTTAAAAAGGGGACTTATTAGGTTGGCTTATGCAACCAGAAGCTGAATAGTCTACAATGGCCATCTGCAGGCTGGAGAGCTGGGAAAACCAGTAGCTGTGCAGTCCAAGAGGCTGAAGCCTCAGAACAAGAGGGATCAATGGTGCTATTCTAGTCTGAGCCCGAAGCCTTCTGGAGAATCACTGTCAGAGTTTGCTTCAGAAAAGTAAAGAAGAGAGTCTGATATCCTCAGATATGGTAGCAGCAATCAAGAAGACTTTCAGGAAGAATCCAGCTTGCATCTGCTGCTCTTTCTTTGTTCTTCCAAATTTTATTCCATTTAAGCCATCCTCCTATTGGTTGGCTTTGCCCAAACTTAGGGAGTTTCTCCATTTGGGTAGGCTATTGCACATGCCAATCATTCATAGACACACCCTGATAGACACACCTATAATCTTAACACAATCAAGTTGGCAATGCAGATTAAACATTACACAAAGGCACTGAGATAGCCAAAATAATCTTAAGATCAAAGAACAAAGCTGGACCTCTCACACTTTTTGATTTCAGAGGGGAATACAAAGCTTTAGAAATCCAAACATTATGGTGTGGTGTAATGACCACATGAAAGATATAAGAACACAAAGACCAAGAAAAGAGAGACCCTGGAAATAAACTCTTGTCTGTAGAGTTACATTAGTCAGCCCAGGCTGCCATAATAACAAAGCATGTGGTGGTAGAGCTCTTCTCAGGGTTCACGACGCTAGAATTGCCAGTAAAAGTGTGTGCCTATGGTHCCTAGCAAGGGCTCTTTATAGAAGGCCACTGACTTAAAGATGGCCACTTGAATTATTTATTTTTTGAATATTTTTTAGTTATAGGTAGACACAATACCTTTATTTTATTTACTCATATGTGGTACTGAAAATTGTACTCTCACACATGCTAGGCAAGCTCTCTACCACTGAGCCAAAACCCCAGCCCAGTGTGCACTTTCTTGTACTTTACTTGGCCATCCATCCCCCTAGCCCATGGATGCAGACAACTTAAGTATCTCTTTACCTTCTTATAATGACATTGGCTCTAGAGAAGTAAGGCCTCATCCTATGTTTCCCCTTAATCTTTGCTACCTCCTTCTAGACCCTATCTAAGAGACTGTCACATTAAAGCTAATATTTAGAGATTTGAACTTGTGATTTGGGGATTCAGTTCAGAACACTGATGAAGCAACTTTGACAAGCCTGTCAAGCCCACTCACTGGGATAAAGGACAATCTTTACAACTAATGTTGTGGAAAAACTAGAACACCAGTTGTACAACAGTGAGTTGGACCTCTACCTTATTTAGTACACCAAATGACTCAAAATGAATTAAAAACCTAAATGTGAGATGAAAACAATAAAACTTGCAGAGGAAAATATAAGGGAAAAGATTCTTGACATTGCATTTGGCAATGCTTTCTTGGCTGTGACAACCATCCACAGGAAACAACAGAAAAAGAGATGAGTTGGACTTGACCAAAATGAAGAAATTTGTGCATCAAAGGCCACTATCAACAGACTGATAAAAGAGCTCCCAGAATGATAGAAGATATTTGCAATCACTATCTGAAATGAATGTATCTTTAGCATACATTGATACTCAAAACAATTGGAAACAGGTTTGAAAGCAACACTTGTGCATGGATGTTTATTGCAGCACTGTCTAWACCCAAAGGTGACAACTGCACAAATGTTCATGAATTGATAAATGAATACACACCACTGGATATTATTCAGCCATGGAAAGCAACAAAGGCTGATACATGTTACAATAGGGAAGAGCCTTTAAATCATGATGATCCCCTAGTGTAGGTGTGTGTGCCTGTAATCCAGCTTATTAGGAGGTTGAGGCAAGGGGACTGCAAGTCTGAGGCTACCCTGGGCAACTTAGTGAGAGCCCTTATCACAATATAATATGAAAAAGGGCTAGGAATGTAGCTCTATGGTAGAGTGCTTGCCTCATCTGAGAGGTCCTGGGTTCAATGTTCAGTGCTGCCCACTCCAAAAAAACAAATTTATGGCAGATGATGGAACACAGGACAAAAGGACATTGAAGTGTTCAACTTTTTTTTTTTTCTTCTTCTTTGGTTTTGAGATTTCTCCTGAGTGTGATTGTAAACTCTAGTCCTGCTCTGATGTAACTCCATGGTATTTGTTCCTGGATATCTGCAGTGTACCTTCAGGGGCTACTTCTTCATCCTGGTGTATAGCCCAATACCTGTGTGTCTGACCCATGTCCAGGTGTCCCCTGTCCCCTCATGGCAAACCTTTTTATACTGGAAAACTATCCAGTGGCTTCTGTTGGACCTTCTCTACCTTCTTCACAACAAAGTAACCACTCTCCACTGCAGACATGTCCATCAGGAGAGACACAGAGGCAGCCACTCCAAGACACAGGGGAAATAACAGAAGCAAGTTCTCACTAACAGATCCCAGAGAAAAGACAGCAAGACCCCTTGCAGGGAGAACAGGAATTGGGGAGCTTCAGGGACACTGAAGCTCAACCAGTGGGTGGGGAGAAAAACAAGGAAGATGATAAATACCAGTAAATTTTAGACTTTGAAAAGTTAAAATGGCAAATTTTGTCCTAGTGCTATTTTATACACATTTTGTCGTGGCACATATTGAAATTCACATTAAACCATCAAAACGGAACAACTGATTAGGATGAAATCTGAAATGATGTCAGGAAACCACACTGTAACTCTTTTGGAGAAACTGGCTTAACAGTTTAATACACTGTCTTACTCATATCTCAGCTCCACCTCCTATRGACTGGGTGATCCTAGCTTATCTAAGTCAGACAACATCGCTGTAAAATTAGGATAAATAATTGCCTCATAGTTCTCTCTTAAGGATTCAATGTAATAATTTACAAAATAGTTTTAGAAAGCAGATTAGCATTGAATAATTATTCAGAATGAGATAGCTACCTTGTATCCTTTGGTATTATTACTCTTTCTCATTTTAAATAACCAGTTCCAAGTCAATATTAGGCAGAGGGTTGACCTGTGGTTTTGTAGTTTCTGGAAATTCTGCCTCTTCCAAGTTTTTCCCAGAAGGGACATTTGCAAGTCAATATTAACTAAAAGAATTATATCTGCTGATGTCAGGAGTTGCTTGATTCAAGATTCAGCTGGGACCATAGAGAAATTCCCATTGGGCCTTTCTGATAAGGAAGATGTGGATGTTCCCAAGCAGAGACCTCCAGCCAAGAGCCATGGACAGGTAGATGCCAAGGACCTGAGGTGATGGGCAGCCCCAGGAAATGTGATGTGTTCACCTTCAATCTACTCAGAGCTTCATCAGAGCTGGCCCCTCAGAAGGTGAGTTGAGGAGTCTCCAGAAGAAGGGCACGAGCTTCTCACCCCATCCCCACAGTGTCTCCCCAGACATCTGGGAGGCTCCATTGAACCTCACACTACTGTGTGGGTCCCTTCCCACCAAACTGAGGAGTGAGGAGAAAGAGATGTCTCTAACCTGACAAGCTGATCCCTTTTCCCTAGATGGGCAATAGTGTGAGGAAAAAGAATTTCTGATTCTGGGATCATTTTCTCTCTTCTTGCAAAACTCTTATCCTCTGTCCTACCCTTTTTCAGGGAATTGCATAAATGTAGCTATGTAAGTTCAATTTTCATTCTCAGAAGTGAAAATGCCTATATTAATTCAAGATCTTTGCTGTGTCAATAATGCACTTGCATGTTACACACACACACACACACACACACACACACACACATTAGTCTATGAACAGATACTCAAATAGAAAGTTTAGGATGCCTGAGAATCAACCTGTTGAGGTAGTATAGATTAATTTTGCTTCTAAACCTTTAGAGATGAGGGCAAAAAAGCAGAGAATTTCTCACCTCATGGTTGCTGTGAATGAGGTTGCAGTTCTATAGTTTTTTCAGTCGAGTGGGCTTTTCAGAGATCTGGTGGTCTGTCTGTAGGTATTCTGCTAATGAAACCCAGGACAAGGCTTTATAAGCAACCGATGATGTAATCTGCCCATGTCTCCATACAATAGGAGAGTGGAATCTGGAAGTGGAAAGTGAAACTGGCAAGTTGCTGCTCAGAGAAACTGAAACTTAAGCAGAGATGGAGATTGATATTGTGTGTGTGTTTTAAGATGGAATGTAATGAATTCATCTTATAAATTCAGGTACTCAAGATTTCTATTCAACTGATTCTGTCTTGTATCTCTATGTATTTGCTCTCAAGTGGATAGCTCCTTCTCTGATACCAACATCATTCTTCACGTGACCAATTCCAAAATGCATAGGCAGCCACAGAATTACAAAAACAAAAGAAACTTCCAGAATGTTTGCAGAACAGAGCACAGAATTTTTTCTCTTTCTCTCTCCCTCAGTTCCTCTGTCTCTCTCTCTCTTTCTCTCTTTTTCTCCCTCCCCCCATGTCTTTCTCTTTAATAAGTATATCTTGTTAAATAAGTGAAGTTGTGATGTTTTAAAACTCCCTGGGAACCCTGCCTCTCCACATGGGATTATCTTCTATCTCATGCATTTTTTGGCTCATTTATCTCACTCTACTTTGCTTCTTGAATATTAGTATTTGCTCTTTCATCCAAACATTTCATCATGTATATTGTCAAGCAGAGAAAATTGAGAGAATTTTAAAAGATGTTCT